CAGCGACACTTCATCAGGGGCTATCAGTCTGACCCAGAGTTTGCTACGTTGTATGCGCAGCTATCTTCGGATCACCCGCCGGCCAGCCATTATCGCATTGCCGACGGGTACTTGCTCCTCCACTCGAGAGGCAAGGACTTACTGTGTGTCCCACGCGACCGCCGTCTTCGGACTCGCCTTCTCGGCGAGTATCATGATTCGCGAATCGCCGGCCATTTCGGAGTCAATCGCACGATTGCACGGCTTCGACAACGATTTCGATGGCCCGACCTCATTTCCGATGTCATGCGGTATTGCGACTCTTGCGAAGTTTGCCGACGCAGCAAACCCCGCAACCGCAATCCCTATGGCGAGTTACGCCCGATGCGTATCCCTCGGGAACCCGGTATCTCCATTGCTATGGATGTCACCGGTCCGTTTCCTCGAGACCGGCTCGAGCACGACGGCATCCTCACGGTTGTGGACCGATTGAGCAAGTACGCACGTTTTCTTCCTTGCACAAAGGTTGGATTTGTGGCCACGGCGTACTCGAGGACATAGTCAGCGACCGCGACACTCGTTTCATGTCGACTTTTTGGACCTCTCTCATGCAGGAGTCCAGCACGACGATGAAACCCATATCGGCTCGGCATCCACAGACAGACGGGCAAACGGAGCGGGCACATCAGACCGCTCAAATGATGCTTCGTACGCTCATCCGTCCGGACCAGAAGGATTGGGTTGACCGCCTCCCTGACATCGAGTTCGCCTACAACACTTCAGTGCACCCGACGATCGATGCGACTCCATTCGAGTTGCACCACGGTGGACGGAAAGGCCGTATCTTCGCTGATCTTATCCTCCCTCGACCAGCCGACATTGAAGCCGCTTGCTCTCCCGCTTCTGTCCGGAAGTACAGGGAATTGCTGGCTCAAGCCCGTACAAACATGCAAAAGGCTCAAGTCCGCATGCAGCAGCAAGCCAACAGGCGCCGCGTACGATGTCCCATCCGCGCCGGAGATCGAGTTTGGGTCTCCTCGGAAGAGTTTGCATTGGAACAGGATGTCTCACGAAAACTACTATCTAAGTGGTTTGGACCATGGACAGTGACATCAGCTGCGGGCAATGAGCCCGATGGCCCTTCATTTGTGATCGACATTCCTGAGCATCTGACGGTCCATCCAGTCTTTCATGCGTCAAAGCTGGCAACATATACACCAGCTAAGAGCGATGACTTCCCGGGCCGACGATCGCAGGACCCTCCTTCTATGGACGGTCATCAGGAGGTTGACCGCGTCATCTCAGATCGCAAGTATGGCAGCAAGCCGCACCAGTACAAAGTTACATTCAGAGCATGYGATCCCGACGACACTCGGTGGATTTCAGGAGCAGATTTGAAAGCGTCTGCACCGCTGATCTACGCTCACTACGAGCGACAGAGGTTAGCCAAGGGACCTCCACGACCTGCCCCTCCCACCCGGACTGTGCTCCCTCCCTCAGACAGACAGCTTCGCCCTCGTAGGTAAGCTCGGTCTTTCAAGGAGGGGGGGGTGTGGCATACTGTGCAGCCACACAGGCCCTGCAGGGCCCGTCCCGGACCTCCAGCCTGTTTCCCTACAGGGAAACTTCCAGGCTCTTGCCTGGAAGCTTCCTTCTGACAGGGCCTACAGGCCCCAGCCTGTTTCAGCGCCGAGTGCCCACACACCCATCTGCCGCCGAAGCGGCACACTTGCACATATATTTATCACATAATCCATAAAAGGGTGGAGGGCAAAAGGCAACTTACCGAAGACAGAGGACTCCACCAGCAAGAAAGCATGAACCCCATTTGCCATAGGTCCAAAAAAACTTAGAGAGCCCTCCGTGTCGGCCCACAAAACCACAAACTTAATTGAACAAACCCAATATTATAAAGGATCGACCACACATGCCAATTGTCTTTGAAAAAAATTAGAGCCCTCTGCGACGGCTGCAAGGAAGATGAGCAATAGCGAACTTCAGCAATCAAACAGCATCATACATACGAGTCCAGATAGTCGTGACCTCGAACCAACAGCAGAATTGCATCAGGAGATTCACCAAATAAGAACATACGAAGAGTTCATAATTGACAATGCTGAAATAGTCCCATCATCATCAACGAAGAACCAGAGTTGATATCCTATCTGGCGCT